GAGCCCCATGGATGGAGTTTCACGTGCAGGTCTTCCCTTTGTCAGTGGGGTGTGCTGGGGTGTCTCCCTGTTTCTCACCCTCAGCTTGCTTGCCTGTAAAGGGGAGATGTTGGTGCCCACCCGTGGGGTTGTAAAGATGGAGGTGTGCAGTGTCCACAGTGTGGAGGCTCTCCACCAACACCAGGCTTTACCCCAGGTGTCGGGACCCTGTGAACAGTGGATGGGCGTAGGAAATGGGTCTGGGTTGGAGTCCCAGCTCTGGCTCACATCAGCAATGTGGCCTTAAGAGTGGTTGAGGCATCAGGCTAAGGGCTTTGCGTGTAACTTTATTATTTAATCTCTACAACAGTCCTCTGCGACAGCTGCCATAAGGTAGGATCTGTTATTATTTCTGCTCCACAAATGAGGAAACTGACAGACAGAGAGATGAGGTCACCCCTTGAGATCAGGAGCTAGTGATCATGGGGATTTGTACCACCAGGCACTCTGATTTGAGAGCCCAGCTCCTAACCACCTGGCGAGTTCTACCACCATGTACCCTAGAACTGATGGAGTCTGCATCTGTCTTACTGGCGCTCGGGGCATGAAGGAAATGTGAGAGGGCTGAGTGTGCTGTCCTGCCACACAGGATGTTGGGAGTCGGGCTGTCCTCAGCCCAGGTGGGGGGATGCTCATGGGCTATTACAGAATCTGCTGCCTGGTTTCTCAATCAGGCCAGTCAGTCTGCCTTCAGTAGAGGGAGGAGCTCCTGGGACCTCCATCCTCTTTGCTCTCTTCCCACCAAGTTTCAGGATTCACAATCTTTCCTAGGAAAGAAGATGGAGACTCCCCAGTCTCCTCCCTCCTGGCCTGCCCCAGGCTCATGACAGAGTGACCCTCCTGTGACCTAGGATGATGTCTTAGTCAGCTCAGGCTGCCATAACAAAACTCCACCGATAGCGGGGCTTAAACAACAGACATTTATTTTTCACAATTCTCGTGGCTGGAAAGTCTGAGATTAAGGAGGCAGCAGATTCAGTTCTAGTGAGGGCCCACTTCTCGGCTCGTAGGCAGCCACCTTCTTACTAAGTCTTCACATGGTGGAAAGAGAGAGAGAGAACTCTGGTGTCTCTTTCTCTTCTTAGAAGGGCACTAATCCCATCGTGGGGGCCTGTCATCATGACCTCTTTTAAATTTACGTACCTTCCAAAGGCCCCACCTCCAAACATCATTACATTGGGGGTTGGGGGTTCAATATATGAATCTGGGGGGCACATTAAGGTCCATAGCAAAGGGCCTGAACAAACGCTTGTAGAAGCCAGGCAGAGAGAAAGTGGGGAGGCGAGAGAATGTTGAGAGGGACCATTGCCCACACTCTAGCATCCGTCCTGGGCACTCACAGATCCTCCTTTCCTCTCATCTCTCATTACCGTTTAGTTTCCCATTGCTGCTATGACAAAATACTACAAACACAGGGGCTTAAAACAACTCAAGTTTATCATCTTAAAATTCTTAAGGTCAGAAGTCCAAAATGGGTCTCACTGGGCTAAAGTCAAGGGGTTGGCAGGGCTGTGTTCCTTCTGGAGTCTCTAGGGGAGAATACCTTTTCTTACCTTTTCCAGCTTCCAGAAATCACTGCATTCCCTGGCTTGTGATCTCTTCCTCCATCTTTAAAACCAACAATGGCTGATCAAGTCTATCTCAGGCTGCCATCACTCTGGTTCTGACTTAGCTTCCCTCTTTCACTTGTAAGGACCCTTGTGATCACACTGAGCCCACCCAGAGAGTCCCAGTTAATGTCTGTATTTTAAGATCAGATGATTAGCAACCTTAATTCCACCTGTAACCTTAATTCTCCCTTGCCATGTAACAATATATTCACAAAGATTGGGGTGTGAACATCTTTTTTGTGTGTGTGTGATGACATATAACATAAATTTTGCCATTTTAACCATTTAGAAGTGTGCAATTCAGTGGCATTAATTATATTCACATGTTTTGCAACCATCACCATTATCTATTTCTAGAACTTTTTCGTCACCCCAGACTGAAACTCTGTAACTATTAAGCAATAGTGAGAGATATCTTTCCATTTATTTAGATCTCCTTTGATTTCTTTCAGCAATGATTTGTAGTTTTCAGTGTACAAGTCTTGTACCTCCTTGGTTAAATTTATTCCTGTATTTTATGCTATTTTGTTGGTGCCATTGCAAATAGAATTATTTTCTTAATTTCCCTTTTGGATTGTTCACTGCCAGTGTACAAAAATGCAGCAGATTTTTGAGTGTTGATTTTGTATCCTGCAACTTTGCTGAATTTGTTTATTAATTCTAACAACTTTTTATGGATTCTTTAGAGTTTTCTATGTATAGGATCATGTCTTCTACAAAAGACATTGTTTTACTTCTTCCTTTCCAAGTTGGATGCCTTTTATTTGTTTTTCTTGCCTAATTGCTCTGGCTACGACTCATAGTACTATGTTGAATAGAAGTGGCAAAAGAGAATATCCTTGTTTTATTCCAGATCTTAATGGAAAAGCTTTCAGTCTTTCACCACTGAGTATGGTGTTAGCTGTAGGCTTTTTGTGTATGGCCTTTATTGTGTTGAGTTTCCTTATCTTCTTAGTTTCTTGAGTGTTTTTATCATGAAAGAATGTTGGATTTTGTCGAACGCATTTTCTGTATCAACTGGGAACACCATGTGTGTTTTTCTTCTTCATTCTATGGATGCATGTATTACATTAATTGATTTTTGTATATTGAACCACCCTTGCATTCCTGAGATAAATCCCACTTGGTCATGGTATTTAATCCTTTTAATATGCTGCTTAATTCAGTTTACTAGTTTTTTGTTAAGTATTTTTACATCTACATTCATAAGGGATATTGGTCTGTAGTTTTCTCTTTTTTGTGTGGATATTTGGGAAGATAAGCACCAAGATTTCCTCTAAAATCCTGGAGAGACTTGGATGAAGCCCAGCTTCTGCAATGAGGAAAATTATCAAATTTCTTGAGCTCCAGAAAATACTTAACAACTATGGCTGTTACCATTTTATCTCCCTTTTCACCATTTTTCTTATTTCATGAAAAAATGATGGCTCAACAGTTGTTGCTAATATTTGGATTTGAAATATCCATAGAGATCATGGAAAGAGTGTGGTCCAGTGCCCAGAAGAGGCTGGTTCAAGACTTAGTCCTTCCTGTGACCAGCTGGGTGAACTGGGGAGAGATACGGATCTTCTTTCCACCTCACTCCCCTCCTTCACCAAATGGAAATGGTGATGCCTGCCTTGAAGACTCACATGAGCTCATGTAATAATCAGAAAGTGCCTAGCATATGGTAGATAATACATGGTAGTTATTCAATTACTTTCATAGCTCTTTGATATTGTCTATGTTCCTCTAATCAATGGCTCATAGCCACTTTAAAATAATAAGATGACAGCAGCAGATGCTGGCCATTTATAATTCATTAGTAAATCTAATATTTATTTGTTAAGTGCCTACTATGTGCCAGAAACTGTTATAGATGCTGGGAAAAAACAGAATGAACAAGACAGACAAGTGCTGGCTTTCATACAGTTTTGAAGGTGAGAGGGTTGGGCAGCCCACTTGACTTGCTAAGATTCTGAGTCCCTCCTCCCTCTGTACCTTCTGATCCCTGACATTGGCCTCTGCCCCTAAATGTACCATTTTGGGAGAGTGCCTTTCTTCTTGCTCCTGTGGCTGCCTCCTACGACTCTCAGAGTTTTGGCATTTGGGCTGTTAGACCCTGTGCATTGAGAGGTGGCCATTAGTGCCCTGGTAAGATGAGTGCACTTTGCCCTGAGGGTGGTAGGGACCTGAGTATAGAATTGGTGCACTTGTCCGGAGAGGAGTGCACACACCTGTTCTGATGTGGAACTTCCCCAGTACTGTGCCCTTGCTCCCCTCTGGGACTTTGCAGATGCTGTTCCCTCTGCCTGAAGTGATCGCTTGCCTTTTTTCTGGCTGAGGCCTACTCAGCTTCCAAACTTGGCTTGGCTGTTGCTAGTCCAGGAAGCCTGACCTTGCCCCCATGCTCCCATAACCCCCTGTATCTCGCTCTCCAGTGCTCATTTTATCCTGCCTTTCCCTGGCCTTCTTCTTACCTGTCTCCCAGGTGTCAGTGAGTGCCCTCAAAGATGGGTTTGGTGTCATTCATCTGCCTGCCCTCGGCACCTGGCACATTAGGGCCACTGGTGAATATTTGTTGAATGAATAAATCAGTGGTGAAATCTATAAACTATTTTTCCTTTCCTGGATCTTGACTTTAACAATGACGAATAATTTTTGAAATGGACATCCACATGAAAATAAAATATACAGAAGGGCAAATACACTTAGCTAATAAGCATCATGGATCAAAGAAATGCATGGAAAGGAAGAAACGACGTCTCTCCTATTGAATTGGCAAAGGTGGGAGAAATGACAGTCTTCCATGCTGCCAGGTATGCCGAGAGAGGGGCTTACCTGCTTGCACATGGCTGGAGGCAGAGAAACTGGAAAGCAGTTTGACAATTCGTGTCAGGAACTTTTCAAACTCATATGATGCTTAAGTATTTTTCTACAAGTCTGCCCTAAAAAAATAATTAAATATGGGCAAAGACTTAGGTACAAAGATGTCCTCTTATAACATTATTAAACAAATAAAACACACTATTAAATGTCCAAAAGTAGAAAATCCGATCCACACAGTGGTGCTGGTGCCACAGGTATGGTCATAGCTGGCCATTGCTGATGAGGCCTGACAGATCCTCAGTGCGCATTTGCTAACTGATGGATGGGAGGATAGATGGAGCAATCAGTGAAGGGGGAGGTATCTCTGGGCTGTGCTCTTTACAAGGTCACACTGTTGGCTGTGAGAAGAGTTGAGTCTGAGGAATGAAGACAAATCGGGAGGCTGGGTCTGGGGGAACCCCTCCCATGTGGGGCCGGAGGGTTGCTTCTTGTGGCTTCTCTGCTCAAGGGCCCTTCTCTAAAGGCATGTCTTTCTCCACACAGGAAATGCTCCGGTAGACCCAAAGGGTGTCTCTTCCTGGCCAAGAAATGCTTGTCCCCAAGCACAAGAGAGCTGTGGTCAGCCTCCGAGGGAACACTGTGGCCTGCCTTCTCTGGATGCTGCTGCTATGGAGTGGGGACAGTGGCTGTCAGGCCCAGAGGGCAGGTGGGGCCACTGTGGGCTGTGCCAGGCTGAAGACATAGTATAGTCTCTGTGCACGTCCGTGTGTGTGAGTGTGGGGTGTGTGACGACTGTGAGTGAGCTAGTGACTGACTGTGCGTGAGAGAGAGTGGTCACACACCGATCATCCAGCAAGTGTGGGTGTCAGCTGTCTCCCAACCAATGTGTATAATGATCAGTTGCCGGGCAAGGGCATTTGATTGTGTGTGTGATTCTGTAAGAATGTGTGAAAGTGTTTTAAGAGAGCGTGTGAGACAGAGAGAAAAATGAGCTGTCTGAACACACATCTTGAGTCAGTCACATAACGTGTTGAAAGCTTGTCTCTATCAAGCGCCTGTAGGGTTTAGGGGACAGTGGGTGAAGGTTAGGACCCTGTTGTCTTGTCCTATCCTGTGAAAGCTTTGGGGCCATTCCAGGGGATGTGGACACACTGGAGTCCAGCCAGAAGAGGTGGCCAGGACAGCGAGGAGAATGTGCCTCTGCAGTAGGCAGAGGAAGTGGGAGAGTTTGCTGGAGAAGAGGAGGCCTAGGGACAGGAGGGGTGAGACGGGACAAGATGGTTTGCTCCCTTGCCTCAAGGCCTCCTGGGAGAAAGGTACCATCAGTGCAGAGACATGAAGAAGGGGTCAGGAACATGAGCCAGTCCCTTTCACAACATCCGTCACAGAGCTTGCCCACGGGGGTCCTTAGCACACAAATGAACAGGATGTTCGGGGACTGCCCACATGGTGGCAGGCAGGGCGCCCGTCACCAGATCCCTGGACATAAAACACCTCCCCCATTTTGCAGGTGAGGAACTGAGGTAAAGACAAGCCCAAAGCCGAGAAAACACCTCGAAGACTTGCATTTCCATAGGGTTTTTACAAAGTTCTCTCCTGTATTTTACTTTGCCTGAGCCGCTCAAAGCCCGGCTAGCTGGCAAGACAGCCATTTCTGTGGGCCTCCTGCTCTGCCTGTGAGGAGCGCAGATGTCTGTGTCCACCAAGAGGACCCCGCATGCACAGCTGACACACAGGATTAGCAAATTCAGGAATGGAAGGCCTGAGGACTGTCTCCTCCATGCCCTCATTTCATAGAGTGGAAGATGCTGGTCCAGAGGAAAGCGGTCACCTGCAAGGGGTCACACAGCCCTCACCTATGGCAGAGCCAAGGCTGGAAGCCAGGGCACTGGCCCCAGGGTCCGGGCCCTTCCTGAGACATCCCACTTAACTCTCCTGTGCCCACAGTCCAATCTTTCCCAGAGTCTCCAACAGAAAGTGTCCCCAGAGCTCCAGAGGGCCCTTTGGTGAGGACTCTTGAGCAAATGAACCTTCTGCAGCCTTAAAACAAATTTGCTTAAGGATTACAGCCACGGGCCTGGGCCTGCCTGGCCCATAGCAGCAATTATTCTGAACAGGCTGGGACATTATTGTCACAGAGAAGATAGGATGACCTTTTGTGTCCGGGAGAAAACCTCCCTGTGAGTTATCTCTGAGTCCACACATCTGGACCAGCACACCCCAGGAACTCCAATCCTGTCAGGGATCCAGCTGCGAAGCCAGGGCTTTCCCTCGGCGCCTGACAGGCGGACTGTAGCTGGGATTTTAAAAACTAGAGGGAAAGTAGAAGTGGAAAATTCAAGAGTGGCAGTGGCTCGGGGCAGGATGGGGAAGTATCTGTGTGTGTGTGTGTGTATGTGTTTAAATACATAAAGCTTTATGGTTTCATGAACGTAATTGATTGCTTATAAAGATAAAATCAGAAATACAAAATAGTACAATTCATTCGTGGTTCTGCCTGCCGGAAGGAAGCAGTGTTTCTTTCTTAGTTTCCCTCATGCACGCATACACAATCGCACACATAGACACACACAACTCTTCATACCTGACAGTGTATTGGACAGTGTATCATGTTGGTAAATCAGGATTCCTTTACGACGGACACTGTTGGGGCGGCCCCGCTTCCGCTGTATGAACACAGGATGGTTACTATTTAAGTAGCTCCATATGGTGATCAGCTCGGTTGTCTCCAGAAATTTGCTCAGCAATGCTGCCATGAGTTTCATTATACATCTTTTTTTTTCCCCCTTCTATTTCTCTGCTTGTTTTTTTGGGTAAATCACTCAATTTGCAATGGGTGCATCAAAAGATACCCTGCTTTAGGACCCTGAAAATGGATGTGATGAAGCCCACGGCCACTTGTCGGGCAGGCATTCCCCTCATGTTCTCACTGGTTACCATGCTCTTTCTGACTTTTGCCAGTCTGATAGTTCAACAAAACGGGTTTTTTGTTTGTTTGTTTTTGTTTTGTTTTACTAGCCAAATGTTTGAGCCAGGTATTCCCGGAGGCCAGGTCAGCTGCTGACCAAGCCCCAGAGTCTGGAAGAGTCCAGACCAGGGCTTCTTGGTAGTTTCTGTGTATATGTGTGCAGTATTTTGGAGTTTAGAAAACACTTTTCCTCCTATTATCTCATTGTGAAATGGGATGAGCAAGCTCTCGGCACTGGGTTGCCGTGTGGATCAGAACTAAATTATATAGTGCTGTATTCTGTTTCATCAAAAGCACTGTATAGTTTATATAAAATTTATATTTATAAAAATATAAGTATATTTTTATAAATCATTGGAGAATTTCTAAAAATGTATATTTAAAATATATGAATGCAATGTATTTTATATGATTTCTAATGATAGTGCCCTGGCTAAATAAATTATGTTCATCTATGCAATGGACTCTCTGCAGCCATGGAAACTGGCATTGTCACACTGGAAATGGGTTTCCAGCTTATTGCTGGATGTGAGAAAAACAGCTTATATATCAGTGTGTCTGATACAGTCCCATTTACATCAATAACTGTATGGAAATAGAAAATAATTAGGTATACACACTGTGGGTTAACGGTGGTTATCTCGCTGTGGCTGGGAATATGAGCCTTTACAACATTTTTTCTCTGCCTTTTCTGAAATGGACATGCATTATTTGTAGTAGGTTTGAAAAATAATGAAGTCCCTTTGTAACCAAAATAAAAGTATTTAAAGAAATTGGCACAGTGGTGTTCCATGAATGTTAACAGTTTTATGTAAGATTATATATTGTCAACTGAACCTCATGGCAACCTTGGGGACCATTATCATTATGTGACAGTTAGGAAGCTGAGGTTCAGAGCTTTAAGGCAGCCACGTTAGGCCCCCAGCCAGTAGGAGGCAGAGTGGACAGGTGATTTAGGCAGGTCCCTATGACCCCAATGACCACACTCCTAGGCCCCAAGGACAGTGCCCTCTTTCCACAACCCATTGCCGCTTGTCCCCTTTCTCTCGCCTCTGCAGGTTGCAAAACTGTCCACTATGACCTGGTCTTCCTCTTGGACACCTCCTCCAGCGTGGGCAAGGAGGACTTTGAGAAGGTCCAGCAGTGGGTGGCCAACCTGGTGGACACCTTCGAGGTGGGCGCCGACCACACCCGCGTGGGGGTCGTACGCTACAGTGACCAGCCGACGACGGCCTTTGAGCTGGGCCACTTCAGGTCACGGGAGGCAGTCAAAGCGGCTGCGCGGCGCCTGGCCTACCATGGTGGCAACACCAACACAGGGGATGCTCTGCGGTATATCACCCGTCACAGCTTCTCCCCGCAGGCCGGCGGCCGCCCCGGGGACCGCGCCTTCAAGCAGGTGGCCATCCTCCTGACTGATGGCCGCAGCCAGGACCTGGTCCTGGATGCTGCGGCCACCGCCCACCGTGCAGGCATCCGCATCTTTGCCGTGGGCGTCGGGGAGGCGCTGAAGGAGGAGCTGGAGGAGATCGCCTCGGAGCCTAAGTCGGCCCACATCTTCCACGTGTCTGACTTCAATGCCATCGACAAGATCCGGGGCAAGCTGAGGCGCCGCCTGTGTGAAAGTGAGTGTGTGGCTTGCTGCCCTCGCAGGGCTCTGGCCACCTGCCAAGGGCGTGGGGACCGTGACCCAGAGCAGGGTCTCCCTGAGCAGAGAGGAGCCATGTGGCGTGATCAAGGGAAGCTCGAGCCGCGCAATTAGCAGGTGGCTGAGGTGGGCTGGAGACCACCATTCTAGGCTCAGTTATGTAAGAAAGCTGGTGGCACCTACATCCAGCAGGTGCCCGTCACGTCACCCAGAGTCAGTTCAGTCCTCCCCCTTCCAGGGCAGCAGAGGCAGAAAGGAAAGAGAGCTGGGCTGTAAACCCCACCCGCCCTGAGGCACTTTGGAGACTGGGTAAATGTCTCAGTATGGCGTCTCCATTTCTGCAATGGGAAAACATCTGCTTACTTCCCAGGGCCGTTGAGGTCACAGCCAGTGCCTGCAAAGGCTTTGCTAAGCGTCTGCACTGGAAGTGAAAGATACAGGGTCCTTTTCCTCTCCTGAGCGGTTGCAATGAGAGATCGTGTAAGAACATGGGCACAGACGGGCTTCCGGAACTGTACCTGGCAACCCTGAGTCAGCCATTTAGAGATGACTGGGCGTGGCTTATCCCAGAGGCCAAGGCTATTGACCTGGTGCCCTCTGAGATAACCCGAGGTCTCAAACTTATTTGTCTGGAATCTGTTGACTGTGGCAGGGGGTGGGGGATGGGAGAGGAAGGAGGGGAGGATGGACAGCTGACTGAGACCTTTTGGCCTCTGGGGCTCTGACCCGGAAGGCTGACCTCCAGGACCCTAGTGGGGTCATTCTGAGGCCAGCCCCTTCCCCAGGACAGGCAGGGTGAAGCAGGTTTCTTGTGCACCAGCTTGTCTCCAGCTTCCGCCTCTGCCTGCTCCACTCGGTCTTCGTTTCCTTTTTGGGTCACAATCAATGCTGGATAACTTCCCCCTCCAGGGCCAGCGTAGGGGTGGAGTGGGCTGGGAGCAGAGTTTCAGCCTCCGTCTTGCTGACTTTTGTGGGGGACTGAGCTGTGCTGGGTAGAGGAAGCCCTGAGCCACGCTCAGGGCAGGGAAGCCTGGGGGCCTGGGGCGGTAGAGGAGGGGCTGGCGGTGGGAGCAGCTAGGCGTGGCTTGGCCTGGTCCCAGGGATGGCTTGGCTTGCAGCCTGGTGAGAAAGCAGCTAAACCATGTCCCAGACTGGATGCCCTCGGTTTCTTTACCACTCTGTGACTCTTTTCTCTGTGTTGCCTCACTTCATCTCCACTGATTTATTCACACTTACCGAGATCTACTTTTTGTGCTGCCTTGTGTTGATTTCTGGGTCTATAGACAAGAATAAGACACAGCCCCTGACCTCAGGGTGTTCACAGCCTAGCTGTCGAAAAAGACACATGAAAAGGAATGTGATACTGCGAGGGTGACTTTAATAAAGGTGCCACAGAGTCTCATAGGCAGAGTCCTGCTGTGGTTATGGTGGATGGTGACCCTGACAATGAAGGAGGGCTTCCTGGAGGAGGTGGTGCTTAGACTATTTAGAAGGACAAGCATGAGCTGCAGGCTGAGGTGGCGGCACAGGATGGCCACCATTGAAGGATGGTACAACAAAGTCTATGAACCATAACGGGCCCATGTGGCGGGGTAAAGGAGGACCATGGGGATTGGTGGCTGTCTCAATGTCAGGGTCTCGATAAAGGAGCACCTTGTGTGCGGAGGTGAGGCACTGGAAGGTTTTGTGCAGTAGTATGACATAGTTGGGTCCATGTGAGTGTGGAATACTGGCAGGACAGCAGGGAAAAAGGAAGACCCTCTACAAGACTGCTGGAGAAATTCAGAGTACAGTGTTGGAGAGAGATGGAGCATTGATGACCAGGCCCATTTTAAAGATGAGAAAATCGATGCCCAGAGGGCTAAGTGAAGGTAACGTGCCCTATAGAATGCAAGGCCCTGGCCATGGACTTCCCACAAGTGACTTTGTTTGACCGTCTTGACAACCTCGTAAGATAAAGGCGATCTCCATTTGCAGATAAGAGCATTCAGAATGTGAGATCCTGGAAAGCACACTGCAAGGCCTCCTGGGTCCTCAGCAGGAGGCCAGGGTGGTGATGGGGCCAAGCTGGGAAAGAGGAGTAAGGGAGGAGAGACAGCCCAGGCAGGCTAGGGCTAAGAATTGATCTAGGTGTGTGCTGACCAGAAATCAGGGCTGACAAGAGCCAGACATGGGGTCACAGCCAAGAGGCAGAAATCCAATGTAGTGGCCTAGGGTCAATAAGCACCCAGCTGTCATCCCAGAATGCCTTGATGCAGCGCCCTGGGAAGCAAGGCTACTTCTGGACCCTGCCCACTGGCATTTAGCCATCCTGCCAGCCTTGGTTCAGACTGGTTCTAAGTCTTGGCAGGGCAGAATCTAGATTTCGAAGAACTTCTGTGCCCAGGGATGGTTCTGGGAAAGGCAGGGACGACCCCACGAGAGGTTGAGTCACTGGAACCTGCTTCCCATTAATAAAATGGCAGGGCTAGGGGCAGAATCCAGGCCTTCAGCCTCCGTGCACTGGCCTCATCCCACTTGCCCCCAGAACAAAGATTCCACCATCATTGACCTTGGCTCTGAATCGGGGACACTGCTTTCAATCACAGGGAATGGAAAACCCCACTCTAACTGGCTTAAAGAACAAAGCATGTTGACGACACACATGATGAGAAGGTCGGAGGTCAGGCAACCTCATGCTCATTCCAGTCTCCCCATTTCTAGCTTCTTCTTTCTTGGCATTAACTCTGTTTTTGGCAGACTTAGGTTTCAGGGTCCCAGAAGTGCACAGTTTCCACTGAAGAGACATTGATGAAGGTTCTGTTTAGAGAAGAGTGAGGTCAGTGAGGGAGACTGAGGCATCCTGGAACTCGTATGGGGAGAAGACAGCTGATGGAAGGGATAGAAGTGTTACAGGAGCCCTGTGGGGGTGGGGAGGGGGCTTCCTGACAGGAGCTGGAGTCACCTCATGGAGGAACACAGCTACTGTCTCAACTAGGGCCTGGAGGGAGCAAGAGAGAAACCCCTGCCCTCCCTCCCCTCTGGCTTGGCTGGTGCCTCCCATTAGCCTGACCCCACCTGACACCAGCCCACAAAGGAGCCCAGGTGATGTAGTCACAGTGGACAGCCTCCCAGGCTGAGCACAGAAAGGATGTGTGAGGGCAAACTGGGGCTGCCAATCCAAGACAGCTGCCAGTGAGTCTTCGAGCTCTGTGAGAATTCAGACCCATGAGGAGAGGAAAGTCCAACTCAGCAGGTGTGGATTGAGTCTGATGGGACAGTGTAGGCCCTGTGGCTCTTCCCAGACCATCGCTGCAGCCTAGGAGTGGACACAGGCAGACTGTTTGGGGCCGAAACTGCATGACCCTGTCCAACATTTGGGAGTAGAGTTAGATACCGCCCCTACTCCTCAAGGACTGGGGTTTGATCCATGAAGGAAAGCTGGGGGGCTGTAACCAAGAGAAGGGGAACCTACAGGCGAGCCTGGAACACCACAAGTCCCCCATGACATCATTAGGGAGAACTCGTGGACTCGCTGGAGCCAGGCTTCTCCAAGTGCCTGAATAGATGTAAGATTTGAGTTATGCTCAGCCGTCTGATGGGAATCCGTTTTTGTAAATACAGCTGTGAGCTGACGAGGGCCCGCTCTATTCTGGTGACAAACGAAACAAAATCCCCTGACGGTCGCTTCAATTAGAATCAGAGCAAAACAGAACAAAATAGCAAACAGTAACATATTGGAATGCATGTAGGAAGATTAAATCAAGGAATGTCACAAAACCCAAACAACCAGAAATCCGTTGGACTTGGAAGCTACCAGTGGGTGACTTCACAGCCCAAATAGCAGCTGATCTGAATAGGGGCTTCAAATCAATGATCTGGAAAATCATAGACTAATAGTATGGGTTTTGTTGGTATAGTAATCATTCAATCTATGCAGCACACTCTTTCATTCATTCAACAGCCGTACATTGTAGCAGTCATTGGATTCAATCGAATCCATTCATTCATTCAGCTTCAACCCAATGATGCATTGTAATAACCATTGATTCCGTTCAATCCATCCATTCGTTGAACAACCACACATTGAGTGATTCCTCTCCTGGGACACATGCCAAGTGCCCAGGATACAGTGATGGATCGGATGTGCTTTTTATCCTTGAGAAGCTTTTGTCTACTTGGGGCAGCAGGAAAGGGGCAGATAATTACATTATGGAGTGTGTACATGGGTTACCACCTGCCATTTTCTATATCTGCTAGTTTATCTACCTAGGTTCTGTCTCTACACATAAGAATATGATTTTCATGAGGGCAAAGTCTGTTCCTTGCGGTACCCCAGTGCCTGAAACAGAGCCTGGTATGTAGGAGGAGCTGCCTGAATGTTGTTTAAAGGAAATCAAGGGCAGTGACCTGGTGGTTAATTCTGTGCTTGCGCTTGGGATGTGCACATTAGAAGTATGGATGCAATGATCTACCCTCCTCCCAAATGTGGAGTGTAAGAAGATTCAGCAAATCTGAAATCATAGCCAACAATAACTGAAATATTTGACTCATCCCTATTTTGGTGAGCAGAGACAAATGGTTAGATTTTGAAGGTTGATGAGTGTCTGGAAAAGGTAGGCTTGCTGGGATAGGCTGAGTCATGCCAAAGATATCACCCTGCTTCCCAGGGTGGGACAAATGCCCAAGAGGACACTGACCTGACTCCCCTGGAGGAGAATAACACTCAAGAGTCTGCTGGTCACTGAGCCCTGGACATAGACAGGACTCTACCTCACGCTCTCACTCTGTCCTCACCCAACCCTGCGAGGTGGGTGTCGACATTGACATTTTGCGCATGGGGAAACCGATGTTCCAGACCTGCACTGGCAGCCCGTGTCCATTGGCCAATCAGGGGATGTTCCACACTGAGAAGTGCTGCCAGTAATACACGTTGGATTTTCTAGACTTAGTGTGAAAAAGAAAGTAAAGCATTTCATGAATATTTTGTATTGATTA